GGTGAGAGCAGAGGACCAGGGAGGTTGGCCGAGAAGAAAACTTGAAGTCCAGGGAAGATGGGGAAGGGTGAGGTGGCACTGAGTCATCCCAAAGAGAGAACTCAGGTGTGGACATTTCTAGGAGACTCTAATGACCGGGTCACACTCAGGGTCTCTGTTCACTGCACCCAGACTCTGACAGGAAGACACTGATGCCTTGCTCTACAAGAGAAGACTGCTGCTGCCACCATACGTGTCCTTTAGGAATGCAGGGCTGAGGCTCCTCTGGCCACTTTCTCTCTCTGAGCCCCTTTCTCTCTGTTGACTGAACAAACTTGCCCTTCACACAACAGGAAGCAGGGATGAGGCAGGACAGGATTTTACAGTACAGGATCTATCTTGTTTCCTTCAACTGGTATTGTTTTTTGAAACTGGAATTTTGGTCTTTGTTATGAACTTGCATGTTTCCTTTTCTTAATGTTGTGATAGGACAAATGTGGGGGAACTGCATCTGAATTTCAGTTCCATGAACAAACATGAAAGTGAAGTCTGAGGAGAGGTCATGTTGTAGAAACTGATGGTTCCTTCCTGAGCAGATATCTATATGCTGGTTTCCTCCGGAGTCGATCATCTGGGTAAACTCTGCACCCACATGACCAGTCAGGGCACAGTGAATTAGTTGTGGCAACATGACAGAAGGCTCTGTGACTCCCAGGAAGGCAGAGGGCTGAGAAGAGTCTCTTGTGTGAAGTGGGGGAGGGGACTTGTTGAACACTCTTGTCTCTATCCTGAGGTGTTTGGCAGGAAGGCCTGTGGCCCCTGAACTCCAAGTCCCTCTGCAGTCTATTGCCCCATCACTGACCATGGTCAATTCTCAGGTCAGCAGCTGCTCAGCCAGGGTAGGGACTCAGAGAGGGCGCTAGAGAGCTCCTGGAGTCCAGTTTTGTCCTCTTCCTCTCAGGTGTCTGGTACCCTCTACAGCTTTATTTCTCAACCTAGCATTTCCTGTGCATTTACAAGAAATGCCTGTTGTACCCAAGACTGTAGAAATCTCAAAACGCTATTTTAAGCTGATGATGTGCTGGTCTCCCTTCACAAATAATTCAATCTTGATGGTAATTGTCTTTTAATTTGTAGTGTGGAAGCTGGAACTGAAGTTCTCAGAACTTTACTCCCAAACCCGATGCTCTTCTCCACATTGGGAAGGGTGAGCCATGGGCCCAGGACCACAGGGTCCTAGAACTAGAGCGGGCCACTAGGGACTCTCGATTCTTGTCTTGGGAGAGACAGACCTGATATTGAAAATTACTTAGTACTGTAGAAGGGAATGGAGGAGGCAGAGTAGACCCAGAAGAGGACACTGTGGCCAGGAGGCTGGCCCCGGAGGAGGTGTGGTGCCCAGGAGCCCTAGTGCTGCTTCCCCTTTTCACCCCATCAGAGCAGTGAGGAAACCACAAGTCAGATAGAATGATCTAAGAGGTCAGGAGGCTTGTAACTCCATGAGGGTTGAGGACAGAAGAGAAAGATGTCACATGACAGTTGTGAGCTGGCTTTCCCAGATCTCTTGCTCCTCCGCAGCCTCTGCTCAGTTACTGTTGCTTCCTAGGTTGTTATTGTGTTCATTGTGTTTGCTGTTTATTTCCTATTTGTTAAAATTTTTATTAAAAAATATTCACATACATAATGATAAACTTCCTAGTAGGGAGTTGGTATATGTATTCATGTGTGCTGCTTTTATAAAGAACTACCATATATTTCACTTTTGCTTATTTTTAGTTAAAATAAGTAGGTATGATGCTCTCATTTCCATTATGGAGAAAAATGGAACAAGAAACGCAAAAGTCAAGTAATCTGTGGTAAAGAGTTTTAAAAAGAGTGAGGTAAAGTTATAACATAATGAAAGAAAAACTCCCACAGTTGCCTACGTCTTGCCAATGGAAGTAAACAAATCAATCAACTGTGATTAAAAAATAAATACTTGCCTGGAAGCCCTGGTAGGTGCTTAACAAGCGGCATCAACGAAGGCACAAGTACTCCGCGATCTTGCTTTGGCCAACACAAAAGATCATGAAGAGTGGGGTAAACGGAACTGCCACAGGCAGACTAAGATTTGGGATCTTAACAGTGCTTCGTAAGGTATTTTGAGCACAATCACCCCTGCTTCAGTGAACCCACAATTTTCTTCGTTTAAGTGAGCTAGATCCAGCAGCTAGCTCGCTGGACTGAAGCAATAAGCACTCCTGCAGCAGTGCTGTAGGGGGCGCAGTTTCCAGGTGTGCGCTTCTACCCGCTGAGTAGAATAAGGAAGAGCAGGAGGCAGGGAGCCGGCTGCATCTAGAAAGGCAGCCGTAGTGGTGGGGTTTGCAAGTGTAACGATAATTTCAATCCAGCAAGTAATTTTGAGAAGATATATAGTGAGACGCGAACTTTAGTCTTTGCCAATATAAGTAAACTAACGACACTTTTAATTAAAGAATCAGTGGTCTTTTAAGTGTTGATTTCCTTTAAAAGATATGCTGTCTGTGATTTAAAAAAATGAGTCTGAAAGGTGGCCTAGCACTGCCCAATACTGACTGCCAATCAATCCCTTCCCCCGTTCAAAACTTTCTATACATCCTGGCTTGGTTTCTACTCTAAAAATAGCAGTACCACGATTTTTCAGATGGAAAGTGTTATTGACAACTTCATATTGGATGTCAAAATAAGGGTAGATCTGATCATCCTTAAAGTAAAGCAAAAAACAAACCAACAAAAAAACCAAACACAAAGGGCCAAAGAAGGTATCAAGAGTCACTGATGATGCCACCAAGATGGCGTGGAGGGTCCTTCCCAAGACAAGCATGGGCTAGTCAGCCTTTAAGACAAAATATCAAATGAGATGGCTTTGGAGGACTTCTTAGACTTAGGAGAGCAGTTTTATCCATTTGCAAAATACCTGTTTGTGCCAACATGCAGCAAGCTGCTCCCAGGCTAGAGGGATCAAAGCTGTATGGCTGGCTGCATCTACCACATTCTGGGTTGTTCCATGAAATAAATGGGTCTTGTTTATTATACAGTAACAGAACATTTTCCTGTTCATATATTCTTTTCTTCCATTGCATTTCTTTGAAAGAGTATGATAATGGACTCACAATATCAGTAAAATTCTGTATTTAAGCTAAGGCACAGATTATGGAAAAAAACCTGAAAAGGATAGGGTAAATTTTATCCTCTGGGAAAAAGGCACTTGAATACATACAGGATGCATACCTACAAAGCCAGATTCAGCATAAAGCTTGGCTGAGGGAACACCATCCAGGCAGGTCATGTGTGATGCTACAGTGGCTTATAGAGGTGGAGAACCTTGAATAGGGACCCTACCTGGGATGCATAAATATGGAAGCAACAAAAAACAGAGGAAGAGAAGTCAATTTTTTATTTCTCTCCTTAAGAATGACTTGTGAATGATGCAGCACTCGTTCCACACCCTGAAGTGGAGCTCTTTCAGACCCCAAGAGCTGCCTTGCTCAGTCAGTCAAGGGACAGGCTCAGGCCTGCTCCATCCAGTGTGTTCTCCACAAGAGGATGCCTGAACGCTATGGTACGCAGAGCTGACATTGCTGGAACATGGTGTGGATGAGACTTCCCAGTGGACCCCATTTGACTGCTTTATGCATATTCATGGCATTCAAATCTGCCCCAAATTCTTGTCCTCCATACTTCATTCTTCTCCTGTCCTTTTCTGAATTACAATAAAATCCTCCATGTACAGGATGGAGAGAGAGCACCACTGGATCCACTCTGCCACCTTGGAATATTTGTTTTCTTGCTTTGCCAGTCGTGTGGTAAGACCTTGTGATTACTTTAAACAGTCCCTGCCACAGACCCTAGTGCCTCAGTACCTCAGAGAAAGTGAAGACACACTTCAATGTCACTGTCTTGCTGAAAGTGTTACTGTGGCTGATTCGTCGGCTCAAACAAGAGCTCAAGTGAAGCTTCCTCACTTTTATCCTGGAAGAACTCAGGGTGTCACTTACCACTGGTGTCCATAATGTACTGCAGTATAAGACCATTGTCTTGAAAACTCCCTGGAACATGTTCCATGACTTGTCCCTGCCATTAGGATGAGTAGGGAAGAAAAGAGCAGTCTGGAAGGGTCTAGCCTTTGCGTCGGCCACTGTGCCTCGGAGGGTTCTTGTGGAAAGCTGTGATCCTGGAAAGGAACTGCTTATCCTGAAGCATGAGGGCAAAGGTGACAGGCTTTCTGCCAGTTGCCACTTGAAATACATCTCACCAGGAAGCAGGACAGACACTTGGTTTTCTCCAGGTGGACACCTTGAACTGATTTTCTACAGAATCATGTAGGCTATATGCATCTGCACTCTGATTGATAGATGTAAAAAAAAATCATTGAGCCTTATACTAGCAGAGTTCCCACAGTTCTCACTCTCTTCTCACCCCAATTTGTCTTTTTTTTTTGTGGAACTGGGGATTGAACTCAGGCCCTTGTGCTTGCCAGGGAAGCGCTTATTCCACTGAGCCATCTCCCCAGTGCCCCCAATTTGTCTTAAAACAAAACAAAACAAAACAAACACAATTAGGCTTCAACAACAACAACAAAAAAAAAACCCTCAACAGAAGGATGAGGTTTCAGAGAGCCTCATTTGGCATGAAGAGCCATCAGGACAGGCCTCTGCAATACACAGTCTGCTCAGGGTCAAAGGTTTCCATTTTTATTTTCATGTGGTGTGTTAGCTTTGCAAACTTCTCAGAGCCGAAAACATTCAGTGGGAGACTGAGAGAACAGAGTGCAGGAGCCACATAGGGGTGGGGGGACAGGCATCTAAGGAGGCACCAGGCATTCAGCACAACCTAGTGCTCAAATTCACTACAGGCTAGCTCACTCCTAAAATGTGCTCCTTTAAGGGACTGTTTGCCCCTTGTCCTTCCTCTTCCAGGATAGGCACAGCTCACAGCCTCCTCTCCTCATTGGCCAGGAATATGCAGCCCCACCTCACTGAGTGATTTCTTTTTCTCCCTCTGAGGTAACTGACCTACCCAGTTCCCAGAAGTGGCAGCCTTGGAAGGAACTAGCCTCAGCTAGGTGAGTGTATTCCTGAGAGCTGCAGGTTTCAGTCCTGTGGGCAGAGCAGGGAGCAAGACTTGGTGTCTGTGGGAGTTGGTGGGAGTGTAGAGAGTGTTCACTGGCAGCAGGGCCCTGGTGTCTTCCTCAGGAAATGCTAGAGGACCAGTTCAAAGCTGTCACAGTAAAGCTTCCTGGTTTCCCAGTGCTTTCTCCCCAGGAATAACCAGGCCTCTGTACCCTTGCAGGCCTCCTTTCAGTTTTTTCTTTAAGTTGAGAGGGGGCACAGAAGAAGAAATTCAGTCTTCTGATTGCCTTGGTTATATTCCTCTCACCTTCCTTGCTGGGTCTCCATTGTACGTTTTGAAGCTGATCTCCTATAATAAGTGGATTGGGATTTGGGATTATGGTGGAGTTCAGTTTGATTGCCTAAGCAGAATCCTTCCACAGACCCCCCAATAGGCCACAAAATAATTAGAGATAATGTTGGTGGTACCTATTCTTTAGGACAGATTTTGATGCTGCCTTACAGATTTATGGCTCCTGCTGCAACATGCAAGTCACACACAGATGGAATGTTTTCTTTCAGGGCATCCTATCAACACCTGCCACAGGGGGCTGTTGCATAACTGAAATGTGTCTACCGATATTTCAACTGGATTTTCAAAAGTTAAATTTTCTGTTTTACTGAAAATATATTAAGTTGAATTTAAATGTCAGCACAGGACTGTTTCTATTGTACTGACCACACAGCTAGTGACTTATACATTTTCTAAATTAAAAAGAATTTCTGTTTATAGAGTGAAAACTGCATCATATATTGCAGTGACTTCCAGCTTCTTTCACACAGACTCAGGGCCTCAGTGTTTCCAACACTGTGGAAATTCTGCTTGGCTCATCTTCACCTCTAGGTCTTCTGTGGAGCTTCTGAAGAAGAGCCATGGCCTCAGCAGCTTCCCTGAAGGAGATTCAGGAGATCGCCACCTGCTTCCTGTGCTCAAACTTGTTGGACATCCCAGTGAGCCTGGACTGTGGGCACAGCTACTGCAACTTGTGTTTGCAGACCTTCTGTAGGAAGGAAGCACTGCTGAAGAAGGTCGTGTGTCCTCAGTGTCTGTTGCCAAATAATGTAAACAGCTGGAGGCACAATAAGCATCTAGAAAGAATCATCACGGTCTTAAGGAAGATGGCAGAGACACAGAGTGAGTCAGAATGTGAGGAACACGGGGAGCCACTTCGGCTCTTCTGTGAAGATGACAAGCAGCTCATCTGCCAGCGCTGTGAGCAGGCTCCAGAGCATCAAGGGCACACCACAGTGCCGGTGGAGGACGCGTGCCAGGGCTACAAGGTGAGTGTGTGGCCAAGCCCTCAGCAGGGACCTGTCCTGTGCTACTGCCAAGGTCTGAGAGTTTTGATTCTGAAACTAAGATTAAGACCACGAAACAAGGTTTAATTGCATGGTGTTCTTCTGAAAATGGACTTGTGAGGGATCTTTGTTGGATCCATTCTAAACTGTTCTATTGAGCCCATTCCATCCCCATCCTGAGTGCGTCACCATGGACTCTATCCTGCTCTGGGTCATCTTCATGCAAACACAGGTGTTGTCTCCTATCCACTGTACATAATTAGAGAAATTACAGTGTTCAAGGCTCTGCAGAGGATCTGGGAAGAAGTGGAAGAGGACACATCACCTGCGGGAATCATAGTGTCTGGTAGAGACACAGAGCAGCAAGGTTACTGCTTGGAGTCCTGGGCTTGGGTGGTGACAGAGGCAGGAGGGAAGGGAGTAGGACATTCCAGCAGTGATGCCTGAAGGACACAGAAACATAACCAGTGCATTGTTTCCACGTAGAAGGGACTGACACATGCCAAGATACACCCGCGGGGCTTCTGCCTTTCTTTGACCAGATCATGTGTCACTTGCAGAGACATGACATGTAGACATGAAGCAAAGAGCCAAGTCCCAAGACCTGAGAGCCAGCTGTGAGTGTAGATCCTAGAGCATAGTGTGACCCTGTGCTGGTGGACATCTCAGACACGGCTGCACACAGCTTTAGTGCTGATCATCTCAGGCTCACTGCTCCAGGATATATATATATATCCTTCACCAAACTACACAACCCTTCACACATTCTGGCTCTACAACACACAAGTCATGATAAAAATGCTCCAACTCTCCCAAGTACAGGTACTGAGGAGATCCATGTCACCACCTACGCAGAGCCCAGTGTTCTTCAGAAAGTTTAACAACTCAAGAAAGGGACCAGTCATTGCATTTTAAGACTTCCTGGAGTGCTGGGCTTTCTCTTAGGTTTCTAATGACAAATCAATTTCAGTAGACATTTTTTATCCAATTTTTCCCTCAGGAAAAGCTCCAGAAGGCTGTGGCAAGGTTGAGGGATCTGCACACAGAATGCATGAATCAGAAAACACTGATAAGAACACAGATAGCTAAGTGGCAGGTAAGAATCTGACATCATTGATTCCAAACTGTTTTCTATTTTAGTGTGTAGGCACACAGAATAACTAGGGTAAAGCACAAACCCCCAGCAGAAAAGTTGATTTTGCACTATTATACATGCATGAGATTCCACCATTAAACTTTTAACTTCCTAATTCATATTAACAAGGATTTCTGATAACTTACCCAGGAGAAGAAGCATTGTGGTGTCTATTTGCCTGAAAACACCTTTGTTGGATTTGGCTGTCACCTGTATGCTCTGGTGCACAGCCCTTGAACTAATCCCCTTATTTCATTGACCAAGGGCAAGTTCTGGATTTCAGTCCTACAGGTGTAGAAACTGCCCCTTAAAGTACTGATGAACAGCTTTCCCAGGGCAGCCCATGAGGGAGCCACTGTGAAGCTCAGGAGCACAACAGCTGCTAGGACAGTGTGCGCCCCAGCACCAGGGGCTGAGGTCTTCTGGACTCCACAGCATGGGAGACACATTGCTGTGTGGAAGCACCTCTAGAATGTTTTTGCTCGCTGTCCAGGTCTGCATGCTGCTGAGCCATTGGCCTCTTCTGGGATCTTTGTCACTTTTACTATTTTAATTGTGTGGTTCAGGGACTAAGCTCCTTTCCCATTGTTGCAGAACCATCACCCTACTCATCTCCATAAGTTCTTTCTTCTTACAAAATGTAATTCTGTGCCCATTAAACCTGAACTCTCATTCTCCTTGCCTTGTAAGATCCTGGTAAGCACTATTTTCTTTTCTGTCTCTATGAATGTAACTATTTAGGTGCTTCATAGACGTGAGATATTCACCATTGGAGCTCTTCTTTTAGGCTCATTTTTCCTCAGCAGAAAGTCCTCAGGGTTTATCCCTGAAGGATGGGGAAGATTTCCATTCTTTTCAAGGTCAGGATAGACTCCACCCTATCTACAGCTCATGTCTTGTTCATCCATTCAGTCATCATGGACTCATTCGTTTGCCCTTATGATCTTACTTGCCTCATTCTAGAAGGAGATAGCGGTTCAGAAACAAAAAGTGAAAGTGGACTTTGAGAAACTTCACACTTTTCTCCATGAGGAGGAGAAGTTGTGGATCTGGAGACTGGAGAATGAAGAAGAGCAGATGCTGAGGACACTGCGGGAAAATGAGGCCGACCTGCAGCAGAAGAGCGAGGAAATCATGAACCACATCCAGGAGCTGGAGGCAAAGTGTCAGAGCTCAGCCCAGAAGCTGCTGCAGGTGAGGCCGTGGCCTTGGAGAAGGACAGGAGGATTCTGAGGAGTGTGGGAGGAGGCAGCGGGAGAATGGCTCAGCCTGCTTCATTCCCACGTGGGCACTTGTGCTGGGATTTAAGTAGTATCTCCCCAAGTCTATCCCTGAGCACCATCAGGGTGGCCCTACTGGTGTATGGGTTCCCTCATGTGAACTATAAATCACACTTTCCACAGAATGGGACTCCAGTCCTGGAATCTCGGTTATTAGGGAGGATCACGCTAGAGCACCACATATAGGACAGGGACTTAGCGAATCTGAAACTAACTTTTAAAAATGTTCCTAGGATGCTGGTCAGTAGCACAGCACTCTCCTACTATGGGCAAAGTCTGGAGTTCAATCCACAACAATGAAAGAAGGCCAGCCAGATAGATCAGCAGACTAAATTGCCTTTTTGGGTAGAGTGCAGTGGCCAGGGTTCATTCCTCAGCGTGCTGTGCCGGCCCAACCCAGGGTGTGCTGAGATGACCATTGAGACTGGGCGTGGTGGCATACGCCTATAATCCTAGCACTTGTGAGACTGAAAACATGAGGATCACTACAAGTTTGACCTATGTAGTGAGACCCTGTACATCCTATAAGCCCTGTTCTAAATTCATTAAAAAAAAAAAAAAAAAAGCTAACACAGCCATGAAAGAAAAATGAGTTTGCTGGGTCGGTGAATACAGAGTCATTATTTTCCCCATATCCTTCCTGCCCATCTCTGGATGAGTAAGTCTGGGTGAAATATTCATCCTGGGATTGGGCAGTGACCGAGGAAAGTCAGAGGGAGTAGCAACATGTTCCTTGATTTGCCGGTGCAGCCCTTGCACCTACAGCGACTTGAGGCTTCTTACAGCTGCGTGAAGGATGCATCTCATTAGGATGAATGTAGCAGCTGTTCATTCTGGCTTCTACTACTGGGAGTGAAGTCACACTCTCAGTTCAGAAGGTTGACACATCTTCTCCGCCACCCTGTGATAACTGAGGCTACCACTTTGGTGGCCCAGTCTCTGAGATGCATGTCTAATCACTGTTAATTAATTGGTGATAGGTCATCTCTAACTCTGGCTCAATCTACAAGACATCAGGTGCTAGAGATCCACTCTTGCCAAAGTGATGCTCAGCGAATGTCAGGCCAGAGTGCAGAAGCCACATGCCAGTGACACTTCAATAAATCTTCTTCCCTCACAGGGTTCCTAAGTGCAATCTCAGCCCCGTGCTCAGTAAGCAGAGTCTGGGTGGAATTGTTACTCCTGACTCTGTAGCACTGTCTCAGCCTGGGCCCCCCTTTCCTTCTTGGGGAGCTGTGTTCACATGGAAGCATCTTCCATGCCACAGCCTGAGGAATCCCGACACTAACACATTCCTCTTTTGTTCCTTACAGGATGTGGAAGAAACCTTGAGCAGGTGAGTCCTGCATAGGTAGGGGAAGGGAGGGTCCTGGTGGGCAGAGCTGAATGGAGAGGAGCACTGGGGAGGCTCTACCTCTGCTTCTTCCAGGGCTTGTACAGTGAAGCTGGAAGCTCCCAAGGCCTTTTCCATGAAGGTTCAGACTGTGTGTGATGTTGCTGAGCTTTACTTGGATGTGAAGGTGATGTTAAGACGCCATCAAGGTGAGAAAGACCCAGGGTTCCCTCAGTGCTGTGACAGCAAAGACCATAGGCACTCAGCACAGTCATCACCACCCTGGGCATCTGCAGCACGTGACCTGTGCATATTTGTAGCAGAGCTGACTCACTCTTCCTGTCCTGTGTGCTCAGAGGATGAACGTGCACTGCATCCTGCTCTCCTGTAGGACCTTCCAGGTCCTGCTGTCTGCTCAGGTGACCCTGTTGTGTGAGATCACTCCCAACACTCAGATTCCATATCTGAGAAATGAGTCTATTCAGAGTTTCCCTTCCATGGAGTTGTGCTGCAAATGCATTGCAGTCTCTCATGGGAGCTTCTAGCACTTGTCTGGCACGTGAAGAGCCCCAGATGTGGTGGTAGATGTGCCTCTGAGGCTTCTTGTCAATACTTCACATTCTGACAGAAGTACAAGATAGTTGGTGAGCATGATGGGCCACTTTTAAAACTAGGGGGCCCAGGGAGATAACTCAGTAGAATAAGTGCTTGAATGGCAAGCACAAGGTCCTGAGTTCAATCCCCTGTTCGGCCAAAAAAAAAAAAAAAAAAAAACAAAAAAAAACCACCGGGTGAGCTGGGGAGATGGTTCAGTAGAATAAGCACTTGCCTAGCAAGGGAAAAGACCTGAGTTTAATCCCTGGTTCCCCTAAAATAAATAAATAAATAAATAAATAAATAAATAAACAAACAAACTAGGGACCTGACTCTGAGAGCAAAGGTACATGTTCAAAACATGACAGATAGGGCTGACCCAATAACTCCATGGACTAAAGTGCCTACAAACAGGCACAGGGGCCAGGGGTTCAATCCCCAGGCCTACCATGCTGGCCTGCCCCTGGGGCACACTGAGATGGCAATTGAAACTGCATGGTGGTGCACGCCTATAATTCCAACTCTTGGGAGACTGTAAACAGGCAGATCACTATGAGTCTGATCTAGTAGTGAGACCCTGAACACTCTGTAGACACTTCCTTAAAAAGTATTTAAGAAACAAGGAAAAAAAAAGAAAGAGATACTAGAATTTCTTGATTCAAAGCCCATAATTACTATTTCTTTATCTGTTAGCTACTGCTCCCTAGATCTCAAAATTATTCTTACACTTAGATACCAAATTTCAAAAATGTTGATAATGGAAACTGCTACCATGTTGAATTTGGCTGGAAAATTTAACTCAATCCAAAATGATTTGAAGGCTGCATGAGTTATATATTGCCCCTCACAAATCTGAAGCGACGTAGGTATGCTATCTCCCAGCCTTGTGAGTCAGCAATCTGAGCACAGCTCTGTGAGCTGTAGTGAGGTGTTTGGCTTAGGGTCTCTGGGGGAGCTCTAAGGTGTGGCCAGGCTGTGTTCTCACCTGGACACTCACTAGAGAAGGGCCCTCCCTTACTCTCTCACTTGCTGGCAGCATTCATTCCCCTGGGACTGCACTACGTGGGGCCCTGTCTTCCTGCTGGCTGTGGCTCCAGCCTGGCCTGGCTACAAGGTCATCAGTCACTCCTTTGGGTGTGAACATGACCAAGTACCTCTTCTGCATGAGCTCAGGAGTCTCCATAACAAATATGCTGGCAAGTTGGTGTTTGAATTGATGACAAATTGACATCACAGGAGTTTCATTCCACCATCTTTGCCCTGTTCTGCTAGTCAGAATCAATGCCCTGGCCCTGCCCACTCTGGAAGGGAAGGAATTTTACAAGGATATGAAGACTGATGGACAGTGTCCAAGGATTGGCCCCTTGAGTCTCTCACGTAGGGTACTCATCTGAGCTGCGCTAAAATGTGGGACTTGTTTTCTTTTTTCACCTTTTTCAGACAGGGCCTTACTCTACAGTTGAGGCTGCCCTTGGTCTCACTGTGTATCCCAGGTTGGTTTTTTCACTTCCAGAAATCCATCTTCTTCATCCTCCAAGAGGATGCTGGTATTACAGGGATGCTCTTACATGTCCAGCAATGCTATGTACTTTAAATATATATTTTGCTACAGAAACATGGATGCTCTTGATGACAGGATTGTCCCCTCGTCTTTTCAGGGACACCGTGGGAGTTACAGAATAGCACTTAGCACATGTTACAATGTGCCTAGGCCCTGGGAAATGCAACCTTCTGCCTCTAGGTCCTCTTTCCATGTCTAAATTATATAATGTTTTCCTATATATTGGATTTGAAGTGGTCCCTAATTGTGTACTTACTTTCAGTTTTTCCAGTTTTATTACTGAGCATGATGATTCTTTGTTTCATTTCTTATATTGTGTTCTCGTCATACTTGTTATGTCTATTACCTCTTCACCTTTCTGTTATTTAACTCTGATTATGGTAGTTTACTCATTTGATTGCTTCTTTCTTTACTGACTTCTGGGAGGCTACTGTAGTCAGTATCTTCTCCTGGTATGTGAGTGCCATTTTTCTTTTCTTTCTTTTTTTTTTATTGAGCACGTTCAAATCAAGGTTAGACATATTTTCTTTGAAGGTTATGACTTTTATTTTCTAAGACTGAAGTCATCACTGAGAATTTACTTTTACACTGGAAAAAAAGGAAAAGAAATCCAAAACCAAAGTTAAAGAACGAGAGTATAAAATCAGAGCAGACATAAAACTGAGACTAATGTACAAAGCAGTCATAGTTTTGAAACATTGAGATGCATCATTAGGTCATTTCTTTGGATTCATTATGTTTTTCTGATGTGGTTATTCAGAGCTATAAACTTCTCTCTTATGATCACTTTCATTGTGTCCAATAGGTTATGGTATGTTATAGTGACATATAGTTAGATTGTGGAGACTGTCTAAATTCTTCACTGATTTGTTCTGTGAGCATGGATTATTCAGATGTATTGTTTACACTCTTGCAGAATGGCAGAGGTTTCTTTTGCCATTGATGTCTAGTTGCATTGCCCTCTAATCTGCTAGTATAGGTTGGGATCATTGGATGTACTGAAGCCTGATTCATGGGCTCACATTTGCTCTAAGCTTCAGAAAGTTCCATGTGCTACAGGTAAGACTGCATTCTGCTGCTGAATCCAAGTGAAACTGTAGCTAGCCATTAAAACCAGTCGTTCAAAGGTGTGATGCAATTCTGATATTTCTTTGCACTGTTCTTTTGGCCCACTTGATCTTTCTGTCTGTGACAGTGGCACTGCAAAATCCCTCACCATAGCAGTGTTGATGCTTATCTGATCTTTTTATGTTTAGTTGTTTTGGTTTAATGAAGTTAGGTGCACAAGTGTCCAGTGTATCTGTAATGATGATTGTTATCCCATCCTTCTGCGGATTTCTTCTTGCATGCATTGGTAGTTATGAAATGGAAAATGGGAAAAGCCAAATTTCACTCCACTGCTTTCTAATCTCTGGGGACCTACAAGAAAGAACTAGGATTTTGGACAAAAAGCAACCATCTGGACACTTCTAGTCCTTGATAACTCTCCAAAGTGAAGATTGTTGGACAGTGTTATTAACCCCTATTGGCCTCCAAGGAAATCCTGGGAATTTGACTAAGTGACAGGCAAACCTCAGCTCTCTAGGTTCTCCGCATGAATCACTGCACCAGATGTGCTGATTCATATTGTAGGCTTACATAGCTACTTAGGGACAAGAATTAGGTTCAACACAGATTAGTTTTATTCAAATTCATTGTGTATTACCATCATGCAAAGTATGTGTTTTTCTTTATATTACAGCCAGTGTGACTCTGGATCCAGATACAGCTCATCCTGCCCTAACTGTGTCTAAGGACTGGAGACAGGTGTCCTATGGATGCATCCAGCAGAATCTCAAAGCTTCTTCCAGGAGATTTACCATGCTCCCCTGTGTCCTGGGCTGTGAGGGCTTCAGCTCAGGAAGACACTACTTTGAAGTGGATGTTGGAGAAGGAACAGCTTGGGATGTGGGAGTCTGTATGGAGAATGTGCAGAGAGGTTTTGGCATGATACAGGATCCCGATAGTGGGTTCTGGGCCATTAGGCTGTGCACAGAGGATAGCTATGTAGCACTGACCTTGCCCCACACTGTCCTTAAGCTACCTGAGCGACCCCTGGTAGTGGGGGTTGTTCTGGACTGTGAGGCTGGAGCTGTGTCCTTTTACAACATGACCTCTGGCTCCCACATCTTCACCTTCCCCAAGGCTTCCTTCTCTGGTACCCTGTGGCCCTTTTTCCGGGTTTATCCATACTCACCTTTATTCCTGCCTTCCTGCACTGAGTAAGCAAAGAAATAAAACTTCCTTATTTACACTGATAGAAAAAGTATAGAGCTCATAAAGGCACACATGTGGTCAGTTGTGTTCACTAGTATTTCTTCAACACCTACAACAGGCTAGATTTTTAGAAGATATTTAAGAGATCTGTATTGAATTCATGGCTATAAAGACTAGGAGAACTCCATACATTGGCAGCCTGATTGAGGGGAGAGCAAGATAATTTAAAGGCGTGACGTCCTCCGCATCTCTCTCCACGGGGTTCAGTTCTCTGATTTCTGGTCATCGTTGGTTGATGTTTTGGTTCAGTTTGGTTCAGTTTGAGGTAAAAAGGTCTGTAGTCATTTAACTTTTATTGAGCGACTTGGACTAGTGTATTTGAATAGAAGAAAACAACTCCAGGAACGAGTAGGAAAATCAAACTAACAATAGTTCCCTAGCACTGACATGTTGATCAATAATCTCCACTTCAATCCAGGCCTGACCTACAATTCAACAAGATGTAGTGAGCTTCCCTGGGAAATCACCATGGAATTGTAAGAGAAGAGAAAAACTGTTTCCTGAGAGATGCTTTAATGGAAAGTAGAAGGGGACTAAATAATAAATTTTCATAGGGGACTTAATTCTGGAAGAAAAAAGAAGTTGGCCTTGTCCAGATTATGCTATAGCTGCCTGTTTTGAAATATACCTACATTCCAGTAAATAATGTTTGCTGGATTAATTGCCATTAGTCCTTGTTATGACTCACATATGGCAAAGTAATACTTACCACAATAGTAGGTCTATTATGCAAACTGAAATTAATCAGTTTTGCATGATCTACAGGAGTGAGCTGATGACAGGGAGACAGTGACTTCAGGCAGAGGACAAACAACTTTAGTATTGATGACTAAATTCCAAGGTCACTAAGTACTACAATAATTTGTTCTTGATATAAAATTGAGGTTTGCTGATATTGTTGATGTCCTCTGATGGCATTCCCATTAAATAGAAGAATGAAGGCAGAGTTGTTTTGTGGATGTCAGAGGCCTGCTAGGGGCTCCATCTCTGTCCAGAAGATGTCAGATCCCAGTGCCAGTGCGGGACAACTCCCTGGTTAAGCCGGTGGGAGCAGGTTGTACCAAGTGAAGGTCCCATAATCTGTTTTGCTACATTGGCACTGGATTATTGTGAGTTGAAAATAACTGAGGAAAAGAGAACTAATAAAAGCGCTCTCTCTCTCTCTCTCTCTCTCTCTCTCTCTCTCTCTCTCTCACCTTCCTCCCACAATTTTCACCTCATCTCCTTCACCTACCCTTCTTTTGTTCCCCTCCCCCTCCTTAAATATAGGAGATAATTTTGTAATGATTTCCTACCTTTTGAAAAGTACAGATGTATTCACCAGACTCCAGCTTGACTTAAATATCAGTGGAAACTGAATTACAATCGCTAAAAAACAAATCAAAAAACAAACAATGGCCTTTATCTACAATTAGCTTTCCCATATATTTGCTCTCCCACAATTTATCACCATAGAAACACAAAGTTCTTTTCTTGTGTCATTAATTCTCCAATGTGTTTTCTTTTGTTAAAATGCTCTGTAGCCCAACTTGCAACACTCCTTGGCATTACTTATTTCTGTGTGTCTCTCGTGCACATGCTAATAAATATGTTTCCTCTTCTTTGTTTCTTCCTCCATTTATGTATTTGGTACAGGGTCTCACTATGCATCTGGGACTCATAATGATCTTCCTGTTTTCAGCCTCCCCAGCGCTAGGATTACATGTGTGCACCACCAAGCCCAGAGTCACCAGCCTAGTGCACCCCATGGGCAGAGCCAGTGCAGCATGCAGAACGGGAGATCAATCCCTGGTTCCTGAGCGTGCCAAAGCAGGCACTTAGTGGGCTGAGCTATCTCGCTGGCGCGTTTGCTGTTCTCTTGTTAGCTGTCACTTGTTAGTCTAGTTTACAAGACCCCGCCCACCCAGAGAAGTGAAGTCAACTGAAGAAAAAAGGGCTTCCTTTTCACCGCAGCCTTACTTGTTCTCTGTCCCCATGATTCTAGCACACTTGCTCCACGGTATAATTGAAACACTGCCCTTTGTGCAGGGTCCTGGGCACAGATACATTTCTGACTTCTTGGTCCTGTGAAAATGAGAGGAGAAAGTGTGATGCAAGCAACATAGAAAGAGCATTTTGAAGCTGGAGAGATGGCTCAGATTAAGCGCTTGCCCGGCAAGTGCAAAGGCCTGAGTTCAATCACTGGTTCCACAAAAAAAAAAAAAAGAAGAAGAAAGAAAAAGCAAGCAAGCAAGCAAGCTTTTCAGGAAGTCCTGCTTCTTCAGAATTCCTCTTGTGCCTGGCTGTCACCTCTACTGCCCTGCATTAGTCACTTGAAAAACATGATGTCCCAGTAGTGAACCCGAAAACTACTTATACTCCATTGTTCTACCAGTCATAGTCTTCTTGGTTTTAAAGGTAAAGCCTGCTCCTTGCTAACCACATGTTCCAGCTGCCTACCATGGAGCATGGGCTTAGCCTGCCCTGCTGAGGGCCAGGAGAAGCTCCCGAAAGCTTGATTGTGGGTGTGCTAACACTCCCAACCATTGTGAGATTATAAAAAATAAAAATGAGGTCATATATAGGATGAGGTTACAATAATGACAAAACACCCTATTATTCTAGATATCTCCATGCCTAAGTAAGGGAACAACAACAGGAGCATGCTGGTCTCCTGCCCACCCAAAAAAAGCCTTCCAATATCTAACTCCCTGAGCAAAGCTCACCCCTAGAAAGCCTGGGGAATGTGAATATTAGTCATTGAATAAACTCTTCTGCCTGCTTTCTGCACTAAGTAAACATTTCCTAATGATTTGAACAGGAGAAGAATCTAATTCAGTAGCACTAGAACAGTGACATTTGTGCCATGTGTTTAGTAGATGAGGAGGGCAGAGGACTTTTGTCTTCTAGACATTGGATTCTGTTTCAATTCTCTTTTCTTAGACACATAGACAGTGCATGTGCTAATTCAGGAATATCTTAACTCATGTCTTCTGAATTACAATTGCTGAGACCCTATATAATGTCCTTTTACTCTTCAAGCTTAAGAATTTGAACTGAAAGACACTGTCCCATTGTCCTGTCTTTTTCCAAATGTAGTCTTCCAGGAACGAGGGAAGTGGAGCCTGTGAGATAGCTCAGTGGTCTAATGCACCTGCTTAGGCAAGCTTAGGCAGGCCCAGGGTTCAATCCCTGGGACCACATACTGTGCCAGCACTGTGCCCAGAGGGAATTGAGCCACCAAGAAAAAAAAAGAAGAAAGAAAAGGAAGACAAAAGAAAGAGGAATGCTTTCTAACACTGGCAGAGCCTGGAGATTTCTGTTTAGAAGATATGCTACATCTTTAAGACCTTATTTTGGTAGCCAAAATAAACATTCAATTACAGAAAATAAAGAAGATCACTCTATAAGAACCAAATCAATGATGGAATGGAGATAAAATGAGATACTTAGTTACAGTAAGTTAAGGGAAGAATAATAATACTTGCTTGTTTCCCATCACTTACTATAGGAAGGATTGTGGTTAAGCCCATCCCTTTTCTGGTGCTCATTTCTCCAGAAAAGTAAAGATTCCTTTTTAGAGATGAGAACAACAGTTGACACCAGTGTGTGTGACTTACCCCAGACCAGCAGATCTGGACCCCAGTACCACCTTGGATCCTCTTACACATTCAACTACCTGCTAGCATCCAGCCTGCTCCTGACACATTAAAAGAGACTCAGATGACAGGTTTCAGCTGAACACTCACATCCTGCAGCTCTGGAGTGACACCCAGCTTCTCTTCCAGATTCTGTAGCGAGGGACAGCAGTATCTCGAGGTCTTGCTATGTAATTCAGGCTGTTTTAAACTACAAAACTTCCAGTAACTGTGAGCTAAATAAACCTTTCTTTCCCTAACCTTGAGCGTCAGATACTTGTTCCAGGAACAAGAGAAGAGAAACTAATACAATTGTCTATCCACATATGTTTGACTGTTTAATATTATAAACATACATTCTTAGACTGTTATCTCACTTCCACAATGGAAAACCTAAACAAACAGGGAGAGACTTGCACCAACTCACACACATTCTTCAAGTCTATGTTACACATATTTAGAGATATATAAATATGATACTATAGGTTTATTAGACAATCTTGATGAAGTGTGATTATGGATCATGTTTAACATAACATTTATAAGTGTTACATTTTAGAGCCAACTCTGTTGTGATTAGCTGCCATTAAATACCTGGGCTTCTTCATGAGTCATTTTATTGTAATGGTTTTCTTTGAGCTAAGTAATGGGGTAGAGGCGTGCTCTCATGGAAGCTTTATGAATAGATGGCCACAGCTCTTTACTTTTTGATTATTAAGCTTTGGGCTGATATTCCTCAGACAGGTGAAGGGAGGAAATGATAAAATCTAGCACAGAGGCTTTCTGTATAGTAATTTGGAAAAATAATTTCAGAAATAATCTTCTGGGAAAACCCCAAGAAGTGGAACATCCAGAAATGGCTCAACCAGTGCATCTGACGTCCTGAAATCAGATTGTCTGGGAAACTTTCCATTCTGTTCCTTCCTCACCACCTTCCTCCTGGTCTGTTTGCTGTCTCCTCTGTGGGCTCATATGCTAAGGATCAAGCCCTCAGCATATGAGCCAAAGGCTGAGCTAGTTAAAAAAATGTGCAACACATCAATGACTACGGTTGGCTTGAAGTAAAATAGAAAACTTACATCTTAGAAAACAAGACATAAAGCCTTCACATTTGCCTGCATGGCTTGAACCTTCTTTTCTCTGTGTCATCCTTCACTTCTCCTTCACTTTGGAAGGGGGTTTTTGTCTGACAAATTTCATGATTACATTACTTTATTAAGAGTGTTTTTTGCTGTTTTCCTGCTTGTCTCATCATATCCATGAAAAAGTTTGACTTTTACACTCGTTCTGTAAAACATTTATTTGTTATTGATTGCACTGAAGAATGTTCTCTTCATTCTACTCACTTTGGGTTTAGTTTAGCTTGCTTTATTCTAGTTTGCTTAGTAGAAGATAAGTTCCTTATTTGAGAATATTTTTCTGTGTTGATGCAGAAGTATTCAGATATGAATTTCCTTCTTACCCTGGATGTCACTGTGCCCCATCACGGTTTGCATCTTGTGCTTTCATTTTCATTCATCTCAAAGTATTTTCTAATGCTGGCCTTAGATATTTTCGTGATTCTTTCAGTTATGTAGTTGAATTAGCATGTATTTGTGAGTTTTCCAGGGTTATTTCTGTCAGTGGTTTCTGTCTTCACTATGCTCTGGTTGGAGAGCATGCAGTGTGTGGTATCTATCCTTGAACATTACTGTGACCTTCACAGCTTCACAAATGATCTACTCTGTAGAACGTTCCAAGTGCATTTGAGAATAATGTGATTTTTGCTGTTATTGGGCAAAGTGTTTGATAGCTGTTAGATTCATAGTTTTCAGTACTGATACATCTATTTCACTATTGGTCATTCTTCTATTTGTTTGGTGTATTTTAGGTTTTTGAAGCCTAAAAGTATATTTTCTATTTCTTCTATTCTATCATTTTTGCTTTATGAATGTTAAGGTTCTTTTTAAAGGTACATGTGTATTTACAATGTTAATTTTCCTTGATGAACCTACAGGTTTATTTTTACAAACAGTCTTTCTTTTAGTAGTTTCAATATTTTCTTTTATTAATCCAGTTTTGCTTTGTATAGTATGTGTTCTTTCTAAGTCGTCCTACTAGTGTTTTGGAATTTAATGTGTGTCTCTTATAGATAGTATATAGTTACATGATTTTATTTTACTTGCTTTATCAATATCTTGCCTTCAATACATTTTCTTTTCATATATTGCTGATGAAGCTAGATTTACATTTGCCACTTCGCTAAATAGCTAAAGCATTTTGATTCTTAGTTTTCTCAATTACTGCTTTCTTTTGTGGTAAATACATATTTTCTTGCTTACCAGTTTAATGCTTGGCTCACTTTTTAAAACTAGTTTGGGGGTATTTTGTTAGTGGTTTCTTTGTGGGTTATAATAAATTTCATGGCTATGTGGTTTAGACTGATATCAACTTATTTTATACATTTCTTTCTTTTTTAAAAAATGTATTAAGTACCGGGTATACAGGGTCTCATTACACAGATTGGGCTCGTAGTGATCTTCCTTTTTTCAGCATCCCAAGCCCTGGGATTACAGGCATGTCACCACACCTAGTTTCAGTTGTCAAGTCTCAGCACCCTGCAGGGGCAGGGCCAGTACAGCACACTAGGGATCAAACTCTGGCCACTGCGCTCTGCCCAAGCAGGTGCTTTAGTCAGCTGAGCTATCTGGCCAGCCCTTAATACCAATTTAGCTGTAATATATTTCCATTCAAGCTCTCTTCTTGTGTGGCTTTGTTATGCGAATGATCATTATACATTCATCAATATAATCGACTTTATCTTTCTTGTGAAAACCAGAGAGCTGTAAAAATAATTTTTAAAAATACATTTATGTTGTCACTGAAATTTACCTGGGCAGCCCTCTTTTCTGGTATTACATTTTCTGTCTAGTGCCCTTTCATGTCAGCTGGTATTCTTTTTGCCATATTTTTGGGAAGCAAAAGTGTAGGTCTGGACCAATTTTC